TAATCTGAACGATAAGAATCTGAAAGAACAGAATCACAATCTCTGCAGAGAAATAAAAGTATTAGATACAAAAATTGTCAAAGATTGTCAGTCATTTTTGGCCATACTGTCCCGTCAGTCCAAAGTCGGTTCCCTCCCCAGCCAGGTCCTCGCTCTTCTGTCTGTCCTCTGAACGCAGCATCCTAATCCTCCTCCTCATCACTCAATCTACCTCCTTTTATTCACAGTTCTTTTCGGCTCTTATGTCAATTACTGAACTCAGCTTAGCTGAAAGAGGAAACACCCTGAGATATAAAGGAAAAGGGAAACGGATGGGTCGCCTCCCTAATGTTCTCATTTCTACACACAGACCATTCTCAGGACACAAAAGGTCAAAGCCTGCCAAATTATTTAAGTATTGTCCAGCTCACATGAACTTAAAAGTGAGCACACAAGCAGTTCACACAAGGCTGAAGTTATGCCCAAGTTACAGTATGTAAACATTTTTTAACTCTAGCTATAAATGTACTGTTTGTGTGTAATCTACCCATTCTGATAGTATTCCATTACATAGTCCATATTAACTTGTAACTTGAACCACTACAATAATCACATAAATGTACAAGAATTTTAGGTTCCACTTTATATGTGGTTAAATGTAATTAAAAGCTTTGTGTAAATAAATAAAATAACAATTGACAACTTGAAGTGAAACAGCCTGTTCACATAAAATTGATAGATGAGTGATAATCAAGTGATGGATCAGCCCACTGATGGCATCTCAATGTGGATTACAACCACTGGCTTTATGTCCCATCAGGTGCAGGTGGTATGGACTCTGTTGAAGCTTGTAAAGCCATGCTGGATGGCATGGTTTCAGCTGTTAGGGACTTGAAACCAAAGTTCCTCTCACTCATCCGCATTGTCATCCTGCAGCAACCGATCTTTCAGGCTTTCAGGTCAGAAATAAATCTCATCCATTCAACAACAAAGCAGACAACAAAATTAAAGTTTTACCTTGGATTGTTGTCAGATTGCTTGGTTTAAATGACCTGTCTTGTAATGTGACTTTTTGCAGATCAGAGCTGGAGAATCGATTTGGACAAATTGCCCCTCCTCGCTTAAACCTGAAAGGTTTGTTTTAATTTATAGGGCTTGACATATTTGTATTTCCTCTTGAACATTAATCCAGATGTGTTCAGTGTAAACACAAATTCAGGATGGAAAGAAGCACTATGAATCTGTGTGTAAAATTAATCATATAATTGCCCACTCATGTTAATATTGATACTCAGAATAGGAAGCTGTAGCTTCTTGTAGTTAATATGTGAGTTAAAACAAATTTTGTAGGCCCATGTTCAAAAAAGAAATGATTGGACAAAATAATTAAACCCGGGGGGCGGACACAAGCCCAAGCCACAACCAGGAAACAGAGAAGTTTCTCCTATTAATCTGATTAGAACTGGTGTAGAAAAACATCAATAAAGCAATGATTAGAAGTTCTTTTGCACTTTGTTCTAGAAAAAGCAAAACAAATACTCAAGAAGTGGATAGGGAAGCAATCAAGAACCTCCACATCATCAGCACCAGAAGAATACCCCTTGACCTCCTCAAAGCCTCAGCCAGCTATAATGAGTGTGATTTGTCGCAGATCAGACACCATGACTATCAAGAGAGATTTGGAGAGTATCCTGCAGAATCAGCTGGAGGAAAGAGAGGTAGATGTGTGTGATTTATCCAGGCTCAATGACATGGAGCTGGAGGCAGTGAAGGCAAATATCAGAGTCTTAGGAATAAGTGTTGAGCGAAGGAGACATCTACCTTCTGAAAGTGTGAGCAGCAACAGAGCAAGAAGCACAGCTGGTGCTGAAGCTAAAGCTCATTCAGGGTCAGGGAAAGATGTCTATGTGCTGAAAGGCCTAAAAGAGGATGTTCTGAGCATCATTGAGCTTGTGAACAGAGCAGTTAACAAAGCACTTTGTGAAGACCTCCAGGACAAAAACGAAGCAATGTTGGCTCTTGGCATCCAGTGGTCTATTCAAGATATAAAAGGAGTCTGGAACGAGCTGAGTCTGCATGACAACTACATTCTGGAGGACACTTACATCAACAAACTTGTGTTTGTAGACCTGAAAGCACCAGACGGCATGAATGTGAAGGTAAATCTGAAGGAACAACAAGCCACAGATTTGATAACGGGCATCACATACAAAGTGAAAAGGATAGAGACTGGAACAGGTATGTCACAAGTTTCATTAAAAAACCATCAGCTCACTTTAAAACAATAGTATTTTTTGATTTTTTTAAAACACATACCTCTTTCAGGCATGTGTTATACTAAAACAATGGCATTAACTTGTGTGACTTGTACTTTAGCCCTAGAGTTACCACCACACTGGGAACCTATGCACAACGAAGTCTTTAAAAAGGTCGAAATACAACCTAACTCGCCAGAATACCAGACCGTAGCCCAGGGTTTCCACAGGACAGCTAGAAATAACATTCAGAAAGTTAGTATGCCAACACAACAACACATTTCTCATAGACACCTTGAGTAAAGAATAAGTAGCTCACTGACTGTTTTCTCCTTTCAGATTGAGCGTGTGCAAAACCTCTACCTGTGGTATGCCTATACTGTCTGTAGGGAGCGTATACTTGCCAAGAATGGTCTAGCAGAACTTGGGGAGATGTCTCTCTACCATGGCACATCAGCAGAATCATGCAAGTGCATTGAAAGGGACAAATTTGACAGGCGCTTCGCTGGAGCACATGGTAAGTAGCTTTGTCATACATGTTAAAATAATGCCCCTGAAAAGTATTTGGATTGAAATGACACTAAATCTTTATTGGTGGAAGCTTGTGACAACACATTTTTCCATGTGTACATCACCGACTTCACACTTTGGAGGCAAACAAAAGCAAAAACATGTAGACAGATGTGTAATTTGAATTTAAGAAAACATTTGAGTTTGTATAGGAAATAATGATTTCAGGGCCTCATAGGGAAGAGAATTAAATGTGTTTGATGGGCATTATTTCTGACTTAAAATGTCTTCTTTAATTAGCATAAATAGATGTGTACTGTCCTCCCAAATCACAAGTATCATATACCCTCTTCACTGCTGTAATTCTATCACAGCTGCCATGTATGGAATGGGAGTTTACTTCGCAGTCAATGCAGAGTATTCGGCCAATGGATATTCCCCACCAGACGCATCAGGTCTGAAGCGGCTGGAT